ACAAACACACAATACTTACTCGTTCAATAGCCATCATTAATCCTTTTTGTGAAGTATCGGATAAAGATTGAATTCTTGCAATATAGGCGACATTATTTTGACTTTGCACGGCCAGTGTATAAAGCATAATTTAACTAGTTCGCTAATATCTGATTCTTTAGCAATCGTGTTTAAATTAGGAGCGTCGATGTTCTTGAGGTCATAACCAAAGACCTCTTCATAATATCGTTGGATGAGAGCATATAATCTTTTAAGTTTGTTGAATTTAAGAACCCAATTATCTTTATCTCCACGAGTATCTCCACGAAGAGTTTTGAACCATCGTGGATCACTGTTTTTACACATCAAGTAGAAAATGGAAATGTCTATAAATCGAAATTGCTATAAAAAAATTACATTTAAACTCTATGATTGTTTAAGGAGCAAAAAAAACTCACACATCACAAGCGATTTCTATCAATACTCCGCCATCTGCAAGGTCTTTGTAGTTAGTGACCGTCCTCGATATATTCTCGAAGGTATTTACCTGTGTTTTCAAATTTAAACTTTAAAAATGCCACTCAGTTCGTACTGTATATTACTTGTTAATTAATATGCCAAAAAAAAGGCAACCATAAAAGATCATAGGAACGGTTAAGTCAAGCTAGCAGTAGACTTACCCAGTCAATAAAGGCCACCTCCTCTTGAGCCTTGGACATGAAAGAGACGACGAATGATTTATTTTTATGTGTCTATTGTGTGTAATAAACTAAGAGTGTGGCCTATTATTTCTTTTTGAAGATCTTTATGAGAGTTGAAAAGAGAATTCAAATTTTCACCATATAGCTTGTTTCTTGATAAGAAAAATTTTGATAAATCATGTGACTTATTAATTTTGTCGATATTAGTTAAGGGTTTAGAATTAGAATTATTTAATGTGGAAAATCATGATGAAAAACGGATTATGGTGAAAATTTGGCCAAAATTGTGCAGATCATGAGATCATTTGGCCAGAATTATCGATAATTTCTTATAATAAAAGAGCAATATTTTGAAAATAATGATAAATGCATAAAACATATAACTTAAATTAATTTTGCAATAATATTTATATTGCTATATACTATGTAAATTTATAAGTATAATTGTTATTTATAGTTTGTTATAATAAATATTGCAAATTTTATCATAATCCATTTTTCATCATGCTCTCTCATATTTAATAAAAAATAAATAAAAAAAATGTTTGTTTGAAATTTTTGCATTATATATAACAAATTAAAATAAAATTAGAAAAATAAAATTTTGAAAAAATGAAAATTCTGGAAAAGAATTAAGTATAACTTAAAATATAATATATATATTAAAATCTCTATTATATTAATTATTCAAAATTGGCATTTTAAAAAATATTTGATCAGATTAGTGATCAAATTTTTCAAATATAGTAATTTAATTTTCTTTTTTGATATTTTTGGCTGATAATCATCAGCCAAAAAATAAAAAAATTGATCAAAATGCCAACTCTAATTATTAATTTATAATTATTTAAATACTTTATCATATTTCATTTTATTTTTAATGTTTAATTGAGTTTAAAATATTTATATAATATTATTAAATTTAAGATAAAAAAGACTTAAATTTATATCTAAAAAATAAATAACATATATTATTTTGATGATAAGTTAAAATAATTTTAATATATAATCAGACCTCTCTAAGTGCACATTCTATAAATATACAGATTATATAAATTCTCTCTAAATGCATGATATAGCTTGGTTTCAGCTTATAAAAACTCTATATATTTTGCTCTTTATAAATACACATCTCTTTAAATACACTTTTTATATTTTTTTATTATGATCCTAAGAAAGATATACTTAGAGAGATCTGATTATAACTTTAATAAATTATAATACAATATAATAAATTTTTACAATAACTTTAATTATAAGTCAAAATATATAATTTATTAATAAAATAAAACTTTATTATATAAGATATTAACTTATATAATATTAATTTGAAATCTAATTATTTATTAATTTTAAGTTAAAATATATAGTGACAATTAGAAATAATATAACAACATTAAAATTTATTAATTAAATATAATAAAATACAGATTTTTCACTTTATATAAAAGTTTGCAATTTTACTAATAGATATTTTTTATTTTTACATTAAAATGAAATAATATTACATATTTTAACATATATTTTTTTTTCAGATTTTTTAGATTTAATAAAGTTGTTCTAATTATATATAAAGTCAATTTATAATTAAAACATATAAAAAAATAATAATAGCTTTATCAGATTAAATCTAAAAAATATATGTTAAAATATGTGATATTATTTTCATTTAATGTAAAAATAAAAAATAAAATTGAAAACTTTTATATAAAAAGAAATATCCATATTTTACTATGTTTAATTAATAAATTTTAACATTGTTGCATTATTTCTGATTGCCATCATACTTTTTTTAAATATATACTTTATTTATTTTTTATAGCAATATACTTAAAAAAATTATTTTTATTTTGATATAAAAATAAAAATATTTACTAATAGAATTAAAAACTTTATATAAAGAAAAAAACTCATATTTTTTGTATTTTACTATATTTTATTAATAAACTTTATATTTTAATATATTGTTTTCAAGTTTTTTATACTTTGATTCAAAGAACTTTTTTTCAATAAAAATAAAATTTATGTTTTGATAATATACTTTAAAAATGATCTATTGTTTCTGTATTTATTACAATATTATTCTTGTCGTTAATTTAATTTCAGTCAAAGATTATCATTATCGAGTTAAATCGGACCATATGGTAATTGTAACTAAAGCCTGTACAAAAGCTAAAAATTAGAAAATCAAATTCAACAAATTGATGGTTGTGGCACTATGTTCTCTTTGTTTCATTTATTATACTACGCAGAGTTCGCAGTAATTCTATTTAATAATTAGACAATTACGTATACATATTGCATCAGCCAGATGACCGAGACTTATGACTATATACGTCACTGCGCCCAAATTCTTATAAAACGGACTATTATTCATAACCTTTTCACAGAACTTCTCCTTTCTTGGTTGCATAGCTATTATTAAATACGTTTATAAACTATTATTTTTAAATCATTTATCTTTACACCACCAAAAATGAGGTCGAAATTCAAGGATGAACACCCGTTCGGTATGTAATTTCTCGTTGCAATCCACACCATTTTCAAAACAATTTCGTTTTCCAAGTATTCATTTTTGCCAATTTTCTCCCTTATAGAAAAGCGAAAGGCCGAAGCTGAAAGGATTCGACAAAAATATCCAGATAGAATTCCTGTAAATATTTCGTTTATTATTTATTAAACAATCAAATGACAAGTTATACTTACACATATTCATATACTATCTCGCTCATTATTAGGTCATTTGTGAGAAAGTTGAAAAGTCGGATATTGCTACGATTGATAAAAAGAAATATCTTGTTCCAGCTGATTTAACTGTTGGACAATTTGTCTATGTTATTCGGAAGCGTATCAAGTTGAGTCCAGAGAAGGCAATTTTCATCTTTGTCGATGACGTTCTCCCGCCTACCGCCGCTCTGATGTCCAGTATCTACGAAGAGCACAAGGACGATGATGGATTCCTATACATAACGTAAGTAATTAGAATAATCTCTATACTTAATTGCTATTCTTCATTAACTCGTTTCTACTTTGTATCCATGATTAATAATAGTTACTCTGGAGAAAATACTTTTGGATGCTAAACGAAAAGGACCACCAATAGATAGTATCTCTTCTCTTCACCTCCGACCCCAAACCACTTGCTTGATGATAAATCTTTTTTAATACAATGATGATGAATAATATAAATGTCCATAAAAAAGCAGTATATGTATACATAAACTGCTTTATATAAACAATAATATCACTAATTTTGTCAATTTCTTTACACTTTATATATATAATTATTTTGTTTTCAATATTACATACACACAATGTTCTAAATTAAATAAACTTGAACTGTTTTTTACTTGTATTTTATTTGTGAGCATTGAAATTATCTGTTTAATCAACAATTTGCTTTCTTTGTCAGCAAGATTTTTATTTTATCAAGAGAAAATATTACAAAAGCGTGTATATATAAATATGAAATTGAAAGCAAAATTATATAAGTTACTTTTGAATAAATAACTATATTATTATAATACTTTTAAAATATCTATTAGTCTTTTAAGCCCCACTATCCATTTTTGACATTCATCAAATTTGGTAGTCATTAATTCAACGTGAATTCTGGTTACAGTTGCATAGTCGCGTACTTGTAGAGCTAATTAAAATAAATATAATGAAAAGAATTCAATATTATTATGTCTTTGCATAGGACGAATTGAATATTGAAAATATACCTTGAACTAGATTTAATAAAGATCCAATAACTGGCTGCGGAACAAGTTCGTTATTTAACTCATCAAATAAAGCGTTAAGACGTTTCGCAGTATCATCTAATACCTTCTTTTGATTTGGCTGTAGTTTGTTTTAGATACATGCATCAATAAATCAATTAAAAATTATGATGTTTTAAGCTCAAGACTTATGAAATTAAAATTACCGGAGATTTTTGTTGCGCTCGTAGCAGTTCGCTACTGAAAATCTCGTATATTGGTTTATGAGCGGGAGGAATATGAGTTCGATCACCAGCAGCTAAATATTTTGAATATAATGAGTCAATAATAAATATACGTTCCGAGCACACAACGATAACACATACGATGTTTGTTCACGGGAGTTGGCGCTTTTGCTGGAGCAGGTGCTTTTGCGGGTTGAACAGGTTGAGGTGCATTTTGAGCAGTGGTTGCCGTGGGAAAACCAAGATTTGTAGGATTATTAACCGCATATACTTGATTATTAATGGGTGGTGGTGGTGTAGGTGTAGATCGACCAGGTCCGTAATAATCTTGAGGGACTTGACGAGTTTGAGGTGGTGGAGAAATTCTCGTTGCATTATTAGGGGAAGTTGGTGGTGGAATTGGTTGATACGGAACTCCCGGTGGTGGACCACCACGAGTCGGATAATGAGGTGCTATTGCGGGAGGTAGAAGTGACTGTTGTTGCTGTTGCTGTTGATGTTGCTGTTGAGCTGCTGGTAAAATATTTTGTTGTTGTGGAAGGAATCCAGCTTGTCCAGGAATTAGCGGAGCTGGTGAAGTTGATGTTGGGAAAGGTGAAGTAATAGGTTGAGGTTTATTATTAGCTTGAGCCTGCGCAGCCCGTTTATTTGTTTGAGCAGTTGATACAATTGGTGGATCATTCCAGTTAGGTAAATTTTTCTTGTATGCTGCTGGTATATCTGCAGTTGTGTTATTGTTTACATTAGCATTTGCATTAACATTTGCATTAGTGGCTTGATAAGGCGTGGCTTGAGCGACAGCGGGAAGAGGAGGCGGCGGAACAAATTGATTATTTATATTATTATTATTGACCGGATATTGTTGGGGATAACCGGTTGGATAAGCGGGTTGTTGATAAGGCGCCGATACATTATATCCTACTTGAGCATATTGATTATTATAACCAATAGGTTGTTGATTGGGTGGAATTTGTTGCTGCAGTGCTGGCGGTTGATATAGACCGCCAACTTGTTGTGGAACATTGTATGGATATAATTGTTGTTGATTATAATAATTTGTCTGTCCCGCAGGGATTTGTTGTTGTGGATTGTATGCTTGTGCGAGATTATTATTGATTGCGGTTTGCTGGTATTGATTTACCTCATTAGATGCATTAAATGGATTCGATTCACCATCAGCACCAACAAAAACTTGCTCAAATGGAAATGTGGGTGGCTTAGTGTTACCCACGTCTACCCCCGAATTATATATTCTTTCCCTAATTATCGTTAATGAATCTTGCAATTCTTGTGTGTCATCACTTTGATATTCCAATGGGATCAAGCTTATGTATTTTAGCGCAGAGCTCAAACGACCTTGCGCTGCTAATATCGCAGCGTATTCTGCATACTTTTGATATAGTGTGGCTAGCTTGAAAGATTTACTATTATTATTATTGTTGTTGTTGTTGTTGTTTGGTTCGGTTGATTCGGCATTTTCCAAATTTTGAAGTAATGCTGGATCCACGTAATCGATTGCTTTTCGGAAAACTGTGACCTTTTCGATCAAATTTTGCAAAGTTTTTGCATGATATGAGTATGGCGAATCAAGATGCTCTTTATCTTGTTCCTCCTCTTCTTGCTCAGCAATCCAAATATTTACAACGTTCTCAAGATTTCCCGATCCTAAATAGCATAATACTGCACTTCTTCGATAGCGAAGAGCTTGTGCTTTTACTTCCTCGGTTTCAAAAGTGCTTTGCAACTTTCGATACTGTTCTTCTAATCTTTGTCCCAATGAATTACATAATCCAGCGAATTCTTCACCTCGAGCAAAAGTGCAAAGCACAACTACAACTTCTTGCCATTCACTTAAATCTGCATTGTATACAATGTCCGATAAATCTCCAGAGACAATACTCTGAAGTAATCGAAGATAAGGTACTGTTGAAGCGCAACGTTCAAAGTAAATTTTTTGAGTGCGTTGTAAAAGTTCTGGTCCTCCGAATCCCGCCAAAACTAATGCATCCGATAACCTATTAGCCTCTAAACAAAGGTTGACCGCAGATTCGAAATCTCCAAGAACGATTGAACGTGTGACAAGTTTATCGTATTCTGATTCATCAGCTGGATAAATTTTAAAAGCTTTTTCTTCATTTGAGGTTTTCAGAGCCGCGGCGACGGTGAATGCATCGGGAATCGAAGTAGAGCTAAATAAATCAGAAGCATCCGATAGTCCACCTGAATTAGGTCCATCAGTGAAAAGAGCATCTAGACCATCCTCTTTTTTACTGGTGATGATGCTTTGCGATTCATTTTTCACATCTATAGGACTATTAGAAGTGGACACTTTACCTGAGTCAATATAGCTAGGCTGTAGTATACTTGATGGATCATTATCCATTTTGGACGTGGAATCCAATTTCATCGCCTTAATTGCGTCTGATATCTGCGCAACAACATCAGCTTTAGAGAATCCCAGGTGCTTGACTAATTGCTCACGTGCATCTTCATTAAATAAGGTTTGAAGCACTTTCCAATTCTCAGATTCGAGATCATTACGTGCCTCTTTTCCACGATTCTCACATAAGTGAACGAGTGTTTTTGCTTCAATAGATGTCTCTAATTCGATAGATCTTTTCACAAATTCAGGTTCTGTAATAGGGGTAGAGATGATAACACGATAAGTGGTACCGTTGAGCCCCGTTACTGGTTTGTTAGTAAAAGACACTACTTTGCCACCAAAGCCGAAAACAGCACCAACAGGACGCCTTAGCCATTTAGGTGGTTGCTTTAATGCCAAAGATTGCTGATTATAAGAGGATGTGATCGGTGCGAAAGGATCATCGTTTTGTGGTATTGAAGTTTGAGGATCGTGAGGTGATTGCAAAGAATGCACGCTGATCTTTTGGTAAATTCGATGGTGGTGAGAATATACGTTATTTAATATAGAGTTGCGTGCAGTGCATTTTTGTTGGAGAGGTTAACAAAGCTTCGAATACCTTGCCATCAAACGAGGCGGTTGCCAACAAGTCTGGATTTCCAGGACACCATTGAACGTCAAAAATCCAATTTGAACTAGGAGGTAGCTATAAAGATTCATCACCATGATATTAGTTATGGGTGAGATTTTAATATTTAGCTGTATACAATCGATTCAAGAATATTACTTCGCCTATTGTTTCACTTGTTCTTGGATTCCAGCATAATGTTCGACTATCTTTTCCACTTGATAGTAATAGATCAGCGTCTTTTCGACACCAAGAAAGGGCTAAAATCCCTTTTTGATGTCCAGTTAAAACCTATCAAGTATTAAAGTTGATTTTTAGTACATCGATAGAAAAAACAACTCTTTAATTTTTGTTTATGTACCTTTTCTGGAGCGTGTGCGTTACGAAGATCCCACATTACTATCACGGGGTTATTGTCATCTTCAGAAGCGGTAATCAATTGTGTAGCCTTTAATAAATTTAATTGGAATAAAGAATATTAACTTGTATGATTAGAATATCGTTGATTCTTGTAACTTACCACATCTGGATTCCAAGCAACCGAAGTAGTTCCTCTTCTACCACCACCTCCAAGAGCTCCAGCTACATTTAGAGATCCCATCCCATATGGCGCGCCTATATTCGCTGTGGGGCCACTGTACGATAGATGCATTACCTCGCGTTTATTTTTCAAATCCCAAATTACTGTATAACCTGTAGTTGACGATGTGGCTAATATATGTTGCACTTGGTTATTCCAAGCCAAATATGTGATTTCTTCAAGTTTTGGGGATCGTGTACCCGGTCCATAAGGTTTTTCGGGGTTTGTCAAATCCCAAATAAAAATCTAAAATTGATGATGATATATTGAATACATGTAGGCTTATTTACCACATCAAATTGCAACAAATTACTTCGCCATTTGTAGCCGCTGATCCCAATAAATTATTTTGAAAAGGGTTGAACTGAAGTCCACGAACATTGCCCGAATGTTGCTTATTTCGCAACAGAAGAGCTTTTTCAACACTACAGGAAAAGAATTCGAATTAATTGTTTCTTTCTATCTAACTTGATCATAATCTACGTCTTAACTAATTACTCACTCTCCACCCTCTATGATAATTGCCGGATCCCACAGATCCAATTCACCATTTTCCATGCCACCAGCAATTATGCCATATGCTTTATCAGAAGCGTTTCCCCATACAAGTCTGTCAAATCTAAATTATAATTACATTAGTGAAAGAGCTTTTAGAGCTCAAGGCGAATACAGAGAATTCACTTTTTATAAAAATTTTTTGAAGTTGTTATGTACCTTGCATTACTAGTAACAACACCTGCAGGTTTTAATTCGTGACTAGAGTCAGTCTTATGTAAATCTAGGTGGAAAAGTTCCAATTCTGTAGTGTTTGAGAAAGACGCATCAAGAGCACCAGCAACAGTGCCGCTAGCAACAATGGGCAAATGTTGCCCAGGGCTCCAGGCAAAAGTTGCAGTGCGAGGAATTTCTTTAAGTTTCATTATTTATATTACAACAAATTAAAGAAGAAAATCGATGCAGATAAAAGTTTGCCACGTCAATAATCATTTATTTAAATAATGATTGGCCGATTATAACAGATATGGTTAGACGCGTGGATCTACTTTTAAATAAGGATTAATCCTCGAAAAGAATCAGGATATCTTCCAGCAATGGAGAATCATGAGAACCCTAGACTCATTCGACACTTAAGTTCAAAAAAGAGACGTTAGTTAAGGCACTTAGGGTGTGAGTTTCCGACCCGCTACATCTGAGCGAACCCTCATATTAACAACTTAAATAGCATTAGACTCATAATTAAAAATTTTGATGTTAAATAAGCTTGACGGAATTTTGGATGGTCACGTTAAAACATTCAACAACTAACTGTACAATGTCATCAAGAACGATATAAACACGAGTGAAGCTAAGTGAATCTGCTATTTCGCATTCTTGCCTTGGATAGCGCCCTTGAGTGTCAGGTAGTGATGTTAATGGTCCGGCCCGGGCCAGGCTGGTTCAGTTATTGACGAAACCGGACTGTACTATACACCAGTGTTGATATATGATCTATATGATCTCAATATAATTATTAGAGGTTATGTGCCAACACGCATTGTATTAGATATTTGCCCACGACAAACATAAATTGTAAAATTTAATTTTAACGATGTCTGAAATTAATATTCTTATGTTTCGTATTGTGAAGGAATTTATTATTATACAATGACAATCATATTATACAGCGATCGGTCTCATTGTAACACTTGGGGGACCGGGAATAATTAAGACCGGATTGTATGTCTATCAGTGTCAGGTGAAAAATATGAGAAAGGTTTTTTGTTTGTACTCTGATTTTTTTTTGAAGCTTACGTGATAACTGAACTTGAATGTGTAGTGGTGTGTGTTTTTGATTGTCTGACAGATCCGTTCGAATTTTTTTTTGGACTTGAGCAACTTCTTTAACAGGATAAACGTTATTTCTGTGACTAATGTTGGGGAAACGCAAATAGCGAAGACAAAAATATGCGTCTTGGTAAACTTACGAATCAACTTATATTTGTGTGCATGTGATTTTTAAAGCTGAATCATAAAATAGCATTTTTTTCTCGTAGATCAACAAAGAAATCAAATTTCTATCGTTATCGTTATGCGTATATTATAGAAAAGCAAATATGTAATTTTACCGAGTTATTTTTAGGAAAAGATGGTGTGTTTGTTTATCAAAAATCACAAAAAAGTAACAGAATTATAGAAATTTTTTAACGATCCAGCTCAAATAATGAATGGTGAAGCAATTGACATATTAAAAGAAAACTTGTAAAAGAATTTTTATTACTAGATTGTAATCCATCTTTTTGCATACAAAATTCAATTTTGAATTAATCAGATATAAATATATGAATCCTATAATAAAACATACAGTATTAAAAGTTAAATAAACTCAATATTATAAAATCAAAAAAAGTTTTCAACATTTTGATATTAAAAACAAGTAACAAATATTGTTGTGATATGAATTTTTAGTTAGATTTTATTGGACAATTTATATTTATTTCTTATTGGTTAAATTTTATATTTATATTATTGGTTAATATTTAATATTATTTTATTGAACAATTATTTTTAGAAATTTGAATTTCAATTTGAATTTTGATTTGAATTTTAATCAAATTTATAATTGAATTTTTAATTGAATTTCAATTCAATTTGTATTTTTATTAAAAGTTTAATTTTTATAATTTATTTATAAATATAACATTTATTTTAGCTTAGAAAAAAAGATTTTAACAAGAACTTAATAACAACAAAATTTTAAGAATTTTAGAAATTAAAAAATAATAATTAAAAACATATAATAAATCATTAATAAATTTATTTATTAATAAAATTATATATATTTATTATTATATTATGATTTTATAATGAAATTATATATTTATTATATAATATTTCTTAATTAAAACACTTTCAATATAAATTCCAGATCTCATTCTAGCTGATCACATTATAAATATACTATTATTATTATTTTAGATTGTTATAATTATGATTTAATACTTAAGATATTATATATTTGATTAAATTATCTACAGTGGCTAACGTAATTATGGAATCACGTGTTCAAATTTATTAATAAAACATAGT